TTCATACTGTACCGGATGAGCTGGTGGCACCACACAGGTTCCTGACCGGATGCATGGATGTGTTTTATGTCTGTGAGATTGCCTTTCTAGCATTCACTGACTTGCAAATCCGACACCGCGAATCAGCCTACCTGACAACAGGAAAGGAAAATACTTCTATGCCGCCATTGACAAGACTTTTGATCGGTACGGAAATAATGATTTCAAGATCCAAGAACTACAGTGCGACCTGGAGTTCAAGAGCCTGAGGATGGATCCTGTCAAGAAAGAAATGGAGCTCAAGCTCAACCATGGAGCGGCTCGGACTCACAGTGGTCCCGCAGAGCGGAATATCCGCACCTTGAAGGAGCGCATTCGCGCAGCCTGGCATTCAAACCCGTTCATGGTTTGATGTCAAAGGTGATGATTGTGGGATTGGTGTACGATGTTAATTGTAAACTCAACATCTTCCCCGCGCTTGATGGGATCTCTAAAGTGTATCCTCCTAGGCAGATCTTGGAGGGTCGGACAACAAGCTACAAAGATGTTCAGTACACCTTTGGGAGCTATTGTCTCGCTTCCAACGAAACAGACAAGCTCAATTACATGGAGCCACGGGATTGGATTGCATCTATCTCGGTCCATTGATGGACAACCACCAGGGTGGACACAGTGTGATGGACCTCGTCACCTTTGAGGTGTTCACGCGACAGCATGTCCGCATCCTGCCGATGCCTCGCTCAGTAATTGATGCTGTCGAAAAGAAGGCATACGGGTAGGGTAAGAAACCACTAATCTTTCACAACGTGACTTTGTGGAATTTTTACCTGTAGGTTTGCCTGCAGGAATGGATGGTGTCAATGGAAATGAGAGTTACCTCAAGTCTATGGAGACTCTTCGGACGAAGTTCAGTGGAATCCACGGAATCAGATGAAGATTCTGAGGATGGGAACGCCCCAGGGCAGTACCAAGGGCATCCAACAGTATGCCACAGACATTGACTCCGATGAGAAGGAGAAGAGGGATTCCAAGGATCCCAACAAGCACAAGTCCAGACAACCCTACAGTGAAGAGACGGCACCAGCATGGATACCAATGATGAAACCTGCTGGGCCAGCAATTCCAAGCTTCTGAGTGGAATTGACGCTCAGCTCGGATTGCCACAGCCGAAGCAAAGAAAGGAGTCACCTTCATCCAAGATGACGAAGCGAAGAACCACTACTGTATGAGACAAGACAAGCAAACATCTAGTTTGTTCATGGACTCCTGTTATCACAGGAGTGCCACAGCAGAAGTCAAGGATGAGAGCAGCCAGCCCAACAACATTTTCTACCCAAGGGTCTGAAAGTGTGGGGCAACAAAGACCAGAAAGGCGGCGCTCAAAGAGATGGACCAGTTACACAGCAGAGTGTTTTTCAGTCCAGTCGACCCAAACAAATGCAGTGATTCTGAATTGAAAAAGGCACAAATGGCACTCATGTTTGTGAGTGAGAAAAGGATGGCACGGTCAAGGCCCGTGCAGTCTACAATGGGAAACCTACAAGGTGTTACCATCAGAAAGAAGATGCCAGAAGTCCAACAGTCTTACTTGAGGGTTTGATGTTATCCATGTGTGTCGATGCATCTGAAGTAGGGATGTGATGTCTCTTGGATGTTCCCAATGCGTTCATCCAAACCCCAATGCCAGAAGTCAAACAAGGTGAAGACAGGGTCCTCATGATCATTGAGGGAACCCTTGCAGACTTACTTGTGAAATTGATTCTGACACATATGCCTCTTTCCTGACATACAAGAAGGACGACCATCCTCTATGTCGTTGTGAAAGAGCCATCTAGGAATGGTTTGGCAGCATTGCTCTGGTACAAGCTCTTCAGGAGCGACTCGAACAAATTGGATTTGTGTTAAGAAATACGATCCTTGTTGGCCAACCGCATGATCGAAGGGTACCAACAAACAATCCGATTTCATGTTGACGACCTAATGTCAAGCCACAGAATGAAGTTGGTGAACAACCAAACTCTGGAATGGTTTAACACAGGTATGGAACCTATGGAGCCGTAAGGCAAACCGTGGTCCAAGCATGACTACTTGGGATGACGGTGGATTTTCCAACCCAGGAAAGGTTGTGATTGACATGATAGATTATGTCAAAAAATGGTCTCAGAGTTTTCAGTGGACTTTGGGGCAATGAAAAGGTAACAAGTGCAGCTCCTGCTGACCTATTCAGCTCTGGTGATGGCACCATCCTGAATGACAAAACAGAGAAACCTATCATAACTTTGCAGCCAAGCTGTTGTTCTGTGTCAAGCGTGCTCGACCAGATGTGCACTCTCATACTGTGTTATGCACTCGTGTCGAAGCCAATCATCTGATGATTGGGACAAGTTGGTCCAAGGCCTCAAGTTTTTGGATCAGACGGCAGGACAAGCTTATCCTACAATTGATGATACGCATCATCACTTGGTGGGTGGACGCATCATTTGCAGTCCATCCTGATTACCGTTCCCATACAGGAGGAGTCATGTCCTTTGGAAGAGGAGCGGTGCTTTCTGTATCCGCGAAACAGAAATTGAATTCGAGGAGCAGCACGGAAGCGGAATTGATTGGAGCTGACGATGTCATGTCGCCCATGTTGTGGGCAAAGTTGTTCCTTGAAGAGCAGGGGATCGTTGTGAAGACAACATCCTCATGCAGGACAAACAAAAGCACGATCATTCTTGCAGAGAATGGCAAAGGCAGTTCGGGCAAAAGAACTCGGGCTATCAACATTCGTTTCTTTTTTATTCATGACCAATTGGAAAAGGCAACCTTAGAGTTGTGTACTGCCAACCTTGGAAATGCGTGGAGATTTTTTTCACGAAGCCCCTTCAGGGCAAGCTCTTTCACGAGCACAGGGCTTTCATCATGGGGCATCCACCCCTTGTTTTATTGCCTAATTTATCTTATTCGTTCCAGGTAGCCACTTAGGGCACCGTGCAGGAGTGTGTTGGAGGAAACAACCTGACACCTCTTTACTATTGACTCGTGTATTAACATCTAGTCCGGTTCGCATGTAAATTGATCATGCAAGGAACAAAGGAGTTTTAGGTCTAAAGTGTTGCGGGGTCCTTATATCCAATTCAATCACAAGAATTGCTATGCACCACCAGAAAATCCTCACTTTTGCTTTACAGCTTAATCCAAACCAAATTACTCCCCAATAAGCTGCAGTTTTACTAGCTAACAATCACCCTGCGCTAGTCGTCAAGCGTCGCTGGACCAATGCAGCTGGAGAACTTGTTGCTAACGACGGGCTGAAGTTCCCGGACCCATGGATGTACATCGCTCATATGGAGAAACTCGAGGGGAAATCATTCTTCCAGAGTGACTCCAATGCACAATCTATGGATCGCCGTATCGATATCAACGCAAGACTCGGTGAAAGCCTTCGTCCGGGTCATTGGTCGGACGCTGCAAAGGTGTGGTTCAAGCCGGAGGCCTTCCCCAACGTGCCAGCAGCCATGGTTGCCAACGTGAACAAGGGCATGGACGAAGCCAACGTTAGGGCCTTCGGTACTGTCACCAACTCTCTCTTCGGTTTAGCGCAGAAGTTTACGACGTTCTTGGAAGAGGTGGAAGCGGCCGTAGAAAAGATCGACGACAAGGCCGAAGCGGCTCAGGCCGCGAAAGAGGCCACGGGCACGATCTTGGATTTCATCGAAAGCGTCAACGGCAAGAAAGATGACAGCGAAGATGACAGTGAAGACGCCAGTAGCGTTGAAGTCGATCCCAAATGGCAGAATGTTGATGTCTCCATGGAAGCTGTCAAGACTCCCTCAAAGGCCAACAACAAGTCTGTGGATGAATCGATGGCTTCTGAGGATAGTGTCGGCTTCAGTTCCATCATCAAAAAGTTTGGAGGAGGCGCCAAGCTCAAAGATGACTCCGATTCATCTGATGGTGAATTCGACCAGGGTTTGTCCCAGAAGCTCCACTGAAGAGTGAGTTGGCTTCATTGTGGATTGTTGTTGTTGCTTGTTGTCTTGATGCGCCCATCTCTTCTTCTATCTTCTTCTCTCTACCAGACATTGGTGCTGTTCCTGCTGATGTTGACTACTGGTTGTAGCTGTGGGTGCTGCTCCGGATCCTTCATTCCTGTGTTGCCTTGGAGACTGACGGTATGGACGCCATTGTCCTCTTGTTGTGGCTTGTCTTCGATACAAGCAACCTGCATGGTTGGTGTTGGTCCTGCTGTTGGTGTGAGACGCTATCCTCAACCCTAACATGCAAAATATCGACGGTTGAAGTTGATGTCTTAGTGATACTTATTTAGCTATATAAATTGCTATAGTAAGACCGGCAGGCTCTATCGCGCTTATTAACACGAGGCAGATTTGCCCATCTCGTCTAAACGACGGTGGGATACTGCTCTCCCGAAGTTCACCCATGATCAAAGGACATTCGTAATGTACGTCCCGTAGACCGTAGACAACTACCATACAGTCTGCCTTCGGGAAATAATGTTGAATAGTCACTAGGTACAGGTACAGTACTCAGTAGGTACGATAGTACTTGGATGGGCAGAAGGCTTTGATTTCTCTCTTAGCACTCTCTTAGCCTAGTTTGGAAGCCAGTTCTGTAGAACATTTATGTACTTTAGCCCTTATTCGTCCATTTTGGCGCAAAATGAGTCTTTAATGGAAAATGATGCTTCGACTTCCCGTCCAGCACCCAATGCACAATGGACAATGGACACGCTTTGGAATGGATCCACTGCTAAGATTTAATGTGGGGGCAGCCACTCTGGAGCAAATCTTAGTGGTACCAGTAGCTTCACTACCAGCCGACACCACAGCCTGGTTATGGGGATCATGGGAATCGACCACCTCGGCACCTCGGGATGCCCAACAGAATGACATGCAATTTTGTGACCTTGGCATGCTCATAAACTCGATCCAAGAACAAACTATTACGACCTGACCTACATGCAACAATCTTTGCCTTCGCCAGCAACTCGCCATCGACAATCCAAGATCCCAAACATGAGTGTCGCTGCGCAATCCAGACGCGGTTCGGTTCATCAGGCTCTGATTTTCCTTGCTTCCTTGGTGCCATCAGTCACTGCCTTGTCCCGAAAAGCACAGGAAAGAGAACCATCCGGATTCTTCCATAAGGGTGGCCACTACAGCTATACGTCCTGGAGTAGCAGCGATAGCAGCTCAAGCGACAGCGGGGATAATCCTAGCAATGACGACGCTATGGCTGCAAGCCTGGTGGCTGTGGGCGTTGGCCTCTTGATTTTCGCATCTTTCTTTGTCTTCTTGCTCTGCTGCAACTGGACGGAACGACGTCAGCGACAAAGGTTTGCCAAATCTGCAGACAAGGCAAGAGCAGATGTGGTAAAAGATGCTGCCAAAATGTCCACCAACAAAGAGGATGCCGTATACCAGCACCAGCTCCCTTTTACCCGAGCCACATTCTCGGCCGTCTACGTTGGCTCGAAGGATTGGAAAGAAGGGCATGGATGCAAAGGAACCCTGACGTTTGACACCTCAATGGATAAGACCACGCATTCAGAACGCAGCGAAACGACAACCTGCCCTGCTTCTAGCTACACTGGTGGTAGTGTTCTTGGAGACGAAGGAGTCCGTGACGGCAGCAAAACCCACGCATGCTGGTCTACCGGTATCTCTGGAGTGGGGAAAGATCAAGATGGACCCTTTGCGATTATCGAGGGCAAGCTCTCCCCATTTTCTGGCAAGTGCTACTGGGTTGAGGAATCTGTTGCCGTGGACAACAAGTCAGAGACGATCAAAGTTTTGGTGACCGGCTGCATTACTGCTGACGCCGAAGCTCCCAGTTTTCAAGGTCATTGGGAGTCAAGCAACGGTTCAAAAGGCTCATTTGCAAGGTTTGATTTGGACCCTAACAACAAGAACTAGGGAGCAGCACCAGCCAACCGCCAGCCAACACAAGGCAGCGCCGCTCTGCTATGTCGGTGTTCATGTTTGATGATGCGACAATCAGGGTTCATAACATACATCCCACTTCCATCATCCATACTCCATACTCCACACCTGATGTAATGATACCAAACCAACTAATTGTCCCAACCCCACCGTACCAATAGCATTGAATCCAGCCTACATGTTTTTCTTTTGCTTGCATTCAAGAATGTCATAGTGTGCGGCAACGAGCTAGAGCTGACTACAAAAAAGCATTGGTCCATGTTGCTTCAAACTTTCTTGGGTTCTATAATAACAGGTTTTTAAAAGTCTATTCCAATTTTGGATGTAAGCTTGCCTCCCTCGTGATGTCTCTCTTGGCCTCATTCTACATGTAGTGTATCGTAGTTTTGGCGGCTCCTTGGCCAATTCGCATCTATAGGTACACGAAGACGCCTTCGTCCTGGCTGAAGAAGCGTCTAATGCCATTTCCAACTTGCTCAGCAGCGGCTTTGGCCTTGGCTTGGAAGTTTCGTTGTCTGGCATTCATTGTGATGGTTGTTTTTCTGTTGTTTTGATGGTGTTGTGGTATGGTTTTATGAGAAGAGAGATGCAGGCAGCTGACCACTTGAAGTTACTTGCTGGTTCGGTGCCGTGGCCATGGAGTTCAGTTCGAAGTTCGAAGCTCCAAGCACGGTGCTGGTTACCGGTATCTCTCGAGTGAAATCGAAAAAATGATGGCGATAAGGACAAAAATGAGCTCGTTTAGCCTTTTTTAACTATGTTTGTCCACTTTCGCGGGAGTACGGTGGATCTTTATGTTGGTCTGGGTTCTACAGTTCTACGGCATGCCAAGCATGTGCTGTTGGCTGGTCCACACACCTTGCTGGAATCCTTTCATAGACTTGCTTGTCAAGCGAAACGAACGGATTCTAAAAGACATGCGAGATGCTGATGGCTGAGGTCTCCACTCATAAAACTCATTCCCAGCCAGCATCAAAACCCAAAAACTTAGTTCTAGCTACTATACAAGGTTTCCCACTTCGCACACAGAGATCAACAATGGAAGCCAAGAAAGCACAGAAAGCCAAGAAAGTCGTCAAATTCGTTCGAGAAACGTTCCAGGAAATCCTTTGGGAGCTTGGAATATAAGAGTTGTTTGGTTGTCGTTGGCGACGACCACTCGTGGATGAAACAGAAAGGAGAACACAAGAGTGCTGGAGCACCATTTCTCTGCTTTCCAGTGCCACTTCCCTGATGGTTGCTGCCATCAGTCTCGGCTACCACTGCTGGGTGATTGCACATTTGATCAGTGGAGATGAGCCTGAAGTTACCTCCTGGCAAATCTACGGTCTGGCTGGGGAGGTGCTGTTGCATGCATCCATGGTCAATAAAGTTCCATTCAAATTGCAGAAATTCATATCCTTCCACATCAATGAATGATACATATATCAACTTGCTTGCTTCTAATTTAATCAATGGCTGAGTAGCTTACTCTATCGTACATGTAGTGAGCGAGAGGAGCGGAGGTTGGACGTTGGAAGTGCTCCTCGACTTTTGATAACATAGCTTCCTATTTTCCCCGCAGTTCACCTCTACGGTATGGTGGCGTCATCTTCTTCCGTTGGTGTTCGATGGCGGTTGCGGTTCCTGGCAGTAGGGCTGGGACTGTGTTCGAAATTAATTGTCATACGGTGTTGTGGGCATTAGATTTTCTGGACGGCGACGATTTGGTCGCGGTTGCTGCCGTCGTCGCCGTTGTGGTGGTGGTGGTGCGTCATCCTCATACATGTAGCGTTGTTGTTCTTGTCGCTGTTGACGTCGTTGTTGTGGCGGAAAGGAATCCCTGGTTCTGTGTGAACCCTCCAGAGCTGGTGGCGGCCCGGGCGAGGCATCCTTCATTCTCCTACGCCTCTTGGAATTATGCTTATTAGGAGGAGTGTCACTACTAGTCTCCCCATCCAAACTTCCAGCCACAACTCTTTCCGTGACCCAGCCAATGCCTTGACCGATCCCCTTGACTCCCTTTTCGACCAAATTATGTTTACGCACAAAATCAACCGTAGCAGTGCCTCCATAAATGGCCACATCTTTTGCTTTTTGCACAATTTTATGCTCTCGATCCAATTCTTTGGCTTTTTCCCAAGCATCTTCGGCTGCCACAATGGTCTTGTCGACGACATTGTGCTTTTGATTGATTTCCACGCCCTTTTTAGTTGCCGCAATGGCCACATCTCCAATGGCTCTGGCCGAATCACCGACAATGGTATTTTCTTTGCAATTTTCTGCGGCAAACGCCGAAGAGAATCCCAATACAACGGCACCAATCGGTCCACCCACCAGCATGCCCAGCACACCCGTCCCGACGCCGGCAGCTAGGACTCGTTCTGTGTCTGTTGTTTTTGTTATAGTTGTTTCCTCCTCCTCCTCCAAGTCTTCTTCTTCCTGTTTCGATAGGTACTCGGTCTGGGGCACAATACTACCAGTATCTCTACCAGTATCCTCTCTCCTCCTGCTTCTCGGCAGCGACTCTCGAGGCGGAGCCTCCAAAAATTCGTCCTCCCACTCTTCCACTACTGAATTAAACTGGCCTTGATGATAGTATTGCGGCTCGGGTTCATAGTTGTAATAGACTTCGTCCGAATATTCCGGAGGCCACGCAGGATCCTTTTCCTCTCTCTGCCGATCGCGAACCCACGGGGGTAAGTCCGCCTCATCCTCCTGGTAATAGCGGGGTCTTGCATTCAATGGCGTAATATTATTGGACCATTGCTTTCTCGCCGACGAGCTTGCTTGCTGTTGTGGAACAAACGCCGACACGCCTGTAGCTGTTGCCACCAATACTCGTACAAGATGAACAAGAAGTCTCGTCATGGTGCTCGTCTATCTATCTTTTTGTTTTAAAAGTTGTGCTGTGCGAAGCCTCCAGCTATTACCGGTACATGTAGTGGGTCTCGCAAGAGCCGCTATCGCTAAATGACGTGCCCTGATGCGCTGGAACCAGATCGCTGATGTTTCAGTCACGGTCATTCGTGGTGGCATGAAATTTTTCACTTGCAAGCACCATCTTTTCAAGTGGGCTCGAGAGCAATAATGCCAAGTACTGTGACGGAAAGTGACACCAGCAACATCTTTTCCAAACCTTTTATACTATTAATAGTAGTCTAGTGGGTCCAGGAAAAGAACATGGCAGAGCAAGTTACTTTCATGTGTTTACTCTTCCGCTTGTGCGCATGGAGCACTCAATGTCACCAGCACTCAACAATTATAAGTGATGCATGCTGCGAGCCAATGATGCGCCCTGTAGCTCCCAGCCGGCTACTGAGCGCAATCTTGCCGAATCTGCGGGGTTCACGCAGGTACTGGATGCAGTCCTTTCATGTAAGAAAGATCCTACAAGCTGTTGAAGTTTTGGTGCTGTCATGTTTGAGGCAGGCAGGCACCACCTTGAGTTTCTCCCATGCAGATGCATGGATGCAATGCGTTTAGCTATTGCACACCGCTGTCTAAACCTTCTGGTTCTTCAACTCCTGCGAATCTCACCGACAGTTCTCCAGATCTCGCCCTCATCAAACCAGATCTCGCCGACATGTCTCCGGATCTCGTTTCTCCGGATCTCGCTGACATTTCTCCAGATCTCCCTGACATTTCTCCAGATCTCAGAGCGAACGAGGAAACTGTATTGCTGTGGGATGCCGTTGCCAGTCGAGCGGATCTCGGGGGTCTGACAGAAATTTCTCCAGATCTTGACCTGGATTCTCCTTCTCGTCTTCTTTGCTCATCCGTTCGGTACGATCCCGACACGTTGCCTTCTCGTCGTTTTTGCTTCTCCTGTTCCGTTCTATACACTCTCATTTTCCCCCATACACGTTCCTCCGGTTCTTCCTCCACTGCCTGTAGTAGCGCCTGATCCTGATCCTCCTCCTCCTCCATGGGGGGACGAAATTTCGTACTCGCCATTAGAAAGGAAGAAAGTGCAACACTTCCATTCGTCCTTAAATTCCTGGCCGAAGGCGACAAGAGCAGCGACATGTTTTTGGGTCGGGTGGCATTGCGGTTCAAGAACTTGGGGACAAAAATGGGAAGCAATATCGTCATGGCCAAGACGCACAGCAACAGAGAGAACACGATATAGAATGCCGTCGGATCGTCCAGGCTCATGATGAGGATCGGAACGCCCAGGGCCATGGATTCCACCAAGGAAGCCATGCTGAGCGCCAGGTAGGAAGATTCCGAGAATTCCGTGGGCAGATTGCGGGCCTTATAGCTCTGGTAAGTTGCCACCGCTACACCGAGCAGGTCGACCACCATGATCGAAATGACGAAAATGAGAAATTGAGAATCGGAGGATTTGCAGGTGCCGTAGGATTCCAAGTTTCGACCAAATGGATCCACATTGTCGACGGCGATCCGGTGGTACCGCAGCGGTCGGTACAATGTCCACGCCACCAGCATGGCGACGTTGCTGGGGAAGTAAACCGCGAACTGCCACATGGCGTCGCGCTCCGTCACCAGGATCCGCCTCATCTGCAACCCAGAGTCCATTAGCTTGTTGATTCTCCACGTCTTGCAGGAGAGCGCCGACAGTGCAATGACAAAGCCCAATACGACCAGCCACGGGATGGACATGCAGACTCGATCCAACGACGGCGACGGCGTGCTTGATGAGGAAGTCATCATGGATTCCAGGTCCAGATTCCCACCACCCTGCACAATTCCGAGCGGAATAATGGCCGACATCATGACAAAGGTCCCACAGCACAAAATACACAGAAAGATGGGTTGCGCCGTGGCAATGGCATAAATGGTCCGATTATACACAGTCCACGCCAAGAGCGCCAGACTAAATGCCATGGTGGCAGCGGCGAGGATCCAGCCAAAGAGCTGTCCTCCAAGCGGCACCAGATTGAAATACTAATCGTCTGTTGTAATGGGCGGCACCGCGGGGGGTCGAATCGTCGTGTTGCCGTAAAAGACGGGGAGGGGCTTTTTTGTCGCGTGGGCGCGGCCACCATAGACCGTGGCCACAATGGTGGCATCATATCGAGTATAGTTTTGGTCGGACTTTTGTGGAGATGAAAAGACGTTTCCGATATTCCATCGAATGGTTTCACTGTCTCGTGTCCCCGTTTCCTTGTTGAAGGTAACATTGCCAGAAGCACCGATAAACGGAGGAGAATGTAGGAGGGTATGATAGAGTTCCTCCCCCGTGAAGAGTCCCGGAGTGCGACAGGCGGCCAGTCCGATACTGATCATGGCATCGTAAAAGGTGTGCAAAACAGGTGTTTTGAGTGCGGGATAAGGAAAGGAAAAGTTGTCAAATATCTCTGGTTCCGCATGGGTTTGTAGGAATTCTCGTTTGAGTTGAGTGCTGTTGGTAAAGGCATCGACTTGTGCGTAAAGGGCATCGACATGCGGTCGATCGGTAATGTCTTCAATAATATAAAAGATTCCATCAATGACCTTGGCTAATTCCGGATTGGTTTGTTTGGAAACTTCAAAGTCGGGTTTTTCGTATCCCTTGGCCAGATTCAAGAGCCAGACGTAGTCCTGATTGCCGGCAATGCCATTGTGATACCGGTATGCGGCCGTCATAAAGTCGACGTTCTCCCCCGCAAAGACGCCAATGACGTAGCGGAGCCCCGAGTCTTTGAGACGGGCCATGGTGGCATTGACATCGAGTTCGTTGCGCTCCTTTTCCTCAATGTTCAGGAATGGAAAGCCGGATAGTTTGACCCCCAACCGTTTGGCTTGTCGCGACAGGTTGACAAAATAGGAGTTCCCCCATGCGTTTTGTACGTAAATGCAGGCCACATGGGTCGCGTTTAAGTGATCCTTCAGAAAGGTAATCATGGCATCGGAGCGACTGCCATCGGTACTGACGGTGCGGGCAAAGATTCGGTTTTGGTCGAGTGATTGCGACGAAGACCCGCCTGACACTTGTGCGATATCGAGTCCACTACTGACCTTTTCGGTCTGGATAGAGACACTGGAGAAAATGGCGCCATTGACGGCAAACGGTACTGCTTTGCCGTCTTTATCATCATCATTGGCACTCTCCAGCAAGAGTTGTTGGACTGCCACTTGCGCCGAAAACTGCGAGTCCCGAGAGGCATAGTCGAGTTGCAAATCGTCGCATCCTTCCAGCCATAACGGCAAATCCGGCAGAACGGATCCGTCGCGATTGACAATGTGTTTCCAGGCCAAAAAGCTGACCACGGTGGTATACATGAAATGCGTCGACCGTGTTTTCAGAGTATTTTGACGATCTGCCAATGGCACGTCCAGTCCGCCCCACGTGTTGCCCGATAACGTCAGGATGCGACCATGTCGGACTCGTCTTGAGGAATTGCCACTGATATCCAGAATCGTCTTGTACCGGAGGTGACTCCCGCCTCTCCTACTTGTAGCTGTTGTAGCATTTGCGGCACCTTCTGCATATGGTACATATACCGTTGCGACCAAAAGTAATATCACCACAAGCGATTTCATCCTCGTGGTGGGTATAGCTACCGTATTGGCTACTGCAGCAAGTCTGTCCAAAGCTGAGACCGTCACAAGCGCTTCAATCGAAAACTAACTCCAAGTCAGTTTTGGTTGTTGCCACTACTTGTGCTTGTAGCTCCGGTACCGGTACTACTATGTTGTGTTGTGTTGCTATCGTATCCGTGCGTGCAGATAGATAGTCTGCCTGTACTGCTTACTGCTTATCGGTTGCTGTTGCTGTTTCGTTTTGCGTTCTCTGCATGCACACATCGTATTCTGTTCGACGATCTGTTACTAGTTCTAGTATGTGCTCCAGCTAGTGGTACCACCGGTACCGGTACCGGTACCTGTGTAGGTCCGAGATTTTGCGGTCATAAAACTACTTCCCTACTCAGCTGCTCCGTAGCGTTTACATACTGCACCTGCACCAGTTCTGAGGCAATTTAGATCCGCCACATATCCGCGATTAGCGGGATACCGGTATGTCGCAAGTCATTTTCACAGAAATGTTACAGCAAGCTTCTGATCCAATTATTTAGTTCTAAGATGCTCCGAGCGAGCTTGGATACTCGGAGTTGAGGGGAGGAGTTGATGATTGATGAAGGGAGTACTGTAGAGAGAGGGAAGAGGGAAGAAGGCCATAAAATATTGCCAAATTTTTGCCCTAAACAATGGTCAACTCAGTCATTTCAGACAGTCTAATATTGGGCTGAAACGCTGAAACCTTATGACTAGTGAGTGAACTAACTGGTGCCTGGCCATGTGGCCATGGTGTATGGTTCTCCTCTTGTAGCTACAGTACTAGCTAGTACTCCCCCCGCCCCTCTGGTACCGGTACTGCTGGGACAGCCAATTGCTCCTCGCGAGCTCAGTATTAGTGTCCAGCAGCCCAGCTGCGTTACATAACGATATCTGCGTTAATTAATGCTATATAAACTCTCTCGCTCTATCTATAATATACATTGCTAATAGCTTGATAAACTGCTAGCGTTATTTAACTATACCTTGGGTAGTACAAAGGTGCAGGCCAGGCCGCTTGAGTATGGCGCAACAGATGGGAATGAAAGCTTGGTTTACTCGGCAATTTCGCTCGATCGATTTTTTCTTCTGCAATACACGGCTCTTAGCCTTATTCGCGGCTCGATCCTAGATAGGGTTTGAGTTCGACTCATGACTGAGTCTCTCGTGAATAGTCATCTGAGACAGGGTTCTCAATGACCGCGCTAGTCATACTAGGTTGATGATGAAACATCGCTTCTAGATATTTAGCCAGCGTGGAGTACTTCCACGCTACTAGATCCAGGCTAGCCAGACCTTCCACGCGTTCCGTTTTAGGATCGTGGAGAGACGTAGGCTTACTACCACACCTACTCTATCACCTTTATGTCTCCCGCGGGAAGCCATCTACGATCCCTTGATGATGATCTCTCTCGTTGATTAGTTTTCATAGCTTTCTAATCTCTCTCATAACTTTCACTCTCTCAAACTCAAAACACTCGAAAGATCTTTACACTAGCTTTTAGCGTAGTGCACTTCATTTCTTTTCTGCAGAACAGAAAGCTCCACCATGACGAAAAACGACCACTCTTCCACCCCTTTGCCGCTATTATCTCAACAGCAACATGGCTAGTGTTGTCCGCGACACCCGCAAGGTTGTGGGTGGTGAGTGCTGGGCTCTGTCAAAGCACGTTACCCATGATGCAAGACGTCTTTTTGGTTCAGCATGTGGTGAGACTTGGTTGAAAGGAATCGTCCAACAAGTTGAGTTGAGAAAGAAGACACCCGACGCCAAGAGAGGAACCAACTACATCAAGGCACTGTACAAGGTGGGCCCCACCAAAGCTGTGGAGCAGTGGATCTGTATGCAAAGTCTGAAGGCAACAAATCCAAATCCTGGTGTTGATCCGATTGGTGCCATCGTGGAACAAGAACAAGCCAACTCGAATCCTCCTCCAGTAGAACCAACCAACCCCAAACAAGAACCTCAGACATTGACAGCAACCAGTCCTTCGAATGGAGTTGCAGTGACCACAGTGACCAATGCATCAGAAGAAGATGACACCGTGGAACAGAGTTCTTCCCCTGAAAATCCGGAACAACAGCCCTCACCATCATCAGTCGGCACCGGAACATCTTCAACAGGACGTACACCAGTTGCATCCAGCCATGGATATGATTGGTACACGGACAAGCCCACCGACATTCCTTTCAATGGTCCTACGCCCTTCCGTCCGTGGAAGATGACCTGCCAGTTTACAGGAAGAGAGTACACTCCTGGTTGTGATGAATACCGATGCAACACCAAGTTGAAGCATCCACCTTACGACTTCTTCCTTGCATGTTTCCCCAAGTCACAGATGGACTATATGATTCGCGAGACCAATTCTATCCTCAGACAGGAGAAGAAGAAGGAATTAACAATGGGGGAGCTACTCAAATACTTTGGTATTCTCCTCTTGATCACTCGCTTTGAATTTGGGGACCGCAAGACACTCTGGGCTACTCAGAGCGGCAGAAAGTACATGCCTGCACCCAACTTTGGGAGAACTGGAATGACTCGCAATCGATTCGAGGATCTCAATCACTACATGGTGTGGAGTCATCAGCCAAGTGAAAAGCCAGATGACATGGGATCGCAGGAGTACAGATGGATGCCAGTGCAAGGCTTTGTTGACAGGTTCAACGAGCATCGTCGAAGGTACTATGTTCCATCTTGGATCATCTGCGTGGATGAATCAATGAGTCGTTGGTATGGATTGGGTGGGAATTGGATCAACATTGGATTGCCTCGCTATATTGCTCTTGATCGAAAGCCAGAGGATGGATGTGAGATCCAAAACTCTGCAGATGGTGTCAACGGAATGATGCTGCAGTTGAAGCTGGTCAAAGCGACAGACGATGATGTCGACACAAGAGAACACGATGCACAGAAAGAAGACGACAATGGGTATGTTCTACGCTGACTGTGCTACTCATGACTTTGTTATTCTAACTTGCTCTTTTCTCCTCCGGTCCCGCAGATACTCTCACGGCTGCAACATCCTGTGCGGCTTGGTCAAGTACTGGTCCAACACAGATAGAACAGTTGTTGGTGACAGCTACTTTGCTTCTGTCCAGACAGCCGTTCGTCTCAAGAAGAGTGGACTCCGGTTCATAGGAGTGGTGAAAACAGCTACAAAGGGGTATCCAATGAAGTACCTCTCTAACTACCCACTGCTCAGCGGTCGTGGTGACCAGAAGGCTGTTACATCAAGAGATGAAGCAACAGGAACAGATCTACTTGCATACGTGTGGGTTGATAGAGATCGGCGCTACTTTATATCTACCTGCAGTTCCACGGCACCTGGTCCACCATGCAATCGATGGCGATGGCGACAGACCAATCCTGACATCAACGTACCGGCTGAAAGAGTGGAAGTGTCCATTCCACAGCCAGAGGCATGTGATGCCTACTACTCTGCTTGTGGCACCATCGACCAACACAACAGGACTCGCCAACAGGCCCTTGGAGTGGAGAAGAAGGTTCAAACAAAGAAGTGGTCCCGTCGTGTCAACATGTCCATCTTCTCTATGTGCGTTGTCGATGCTTATGAGCTTGCACGGGGTTGCCAATCTGGTTTTCAGTGGAACCCTCGCGACTTTGTCGAAATCCTTGCAGAGCAATTGATTGACAATACCTATGAAGAAAGGGCTCTTCGAAAGAGAACTGAGAGAGAACATGCCAATGAGCAAGCTGTTGCCGGTGTTGACACTCTTCCATCAACCTACCAAATGACTGGTCCCACACCAACCAAAAAGAAGAAAGCGAACAAGCCAACCCATGCACTTCAAGGGAAGTGCATTATCTGCAAGAGCTCAGTAACAACTGTGTGCAGGACTTGTCGCGAGAGGACTGGAAAGGATGTGTGGATTTGCGATTCTGCTGGAAAGGTCTGCATGGGTCGACACATCATCGAGTGTCATGCTGACAAGAACGCCAAGCTCTGCAAGCCAACCATGCTCTGGCGTTGAGGTGGCTGTTGATGGAGGATGCCATGCCTCTTATTTAGGTTGATGTATGGTAAGTGCTCGCTGATTGATCTATATTGCGAGTGGCCGTTGGTTGTTTTCTCACTTGGTTCTTGTTGTTTGATTTACGAAAAGTGAGAATCAGTGTAGGATCCTACGGATCTTTGGTAGTTGAAGTAGTCGTTGTAATTAAGTAATGCAAGAATTTGAACCTTGATCCACTTTGGTCCGTAGAAGTCTACTAGTTATTGGTAAGAGGTCACGTTTCTGAAGTGAATTAACGCAAATCAGGTGTTATCTAACGATTTTTGCCGGTCTGCTGGACACTAGCTAGTATCGGTATGAAACTAGCAACTAGCTAGCAGTACGACCTGTACTCCGTACTAGTAGTAGCCAAACTACACCGAGCCGTTCCAAGTTCAAAAGTCTTACAGTACTCGAGTACCCGCCACCTGAGTCGAGTCTACCTGGTACCAGCTATCCAGCTACGACTGTATGGTACCAGTAATACCTCTAATACAGCTGCTGTAGTACCACCTACTCGATCCAGCTGTTGCGCCGATGTCTGGACCTCTGTGGAAACTCGAGTCGTGCTACCGATCGTCTCCTAAATCCTTTTGATCGTCTCCTATTTAATGGATTTCGTCTCCTAAAAATAGGAGACGAAACGAATCGTCTCTTAAATCTTTCGTCTCCTCTTAAATCGTCTCCTATTTTCAACGGATCGTCTCCTATTCTCCTAAGTGCACCATGTAAACTGTATGGTATCATCTCCTAAATCTTTTAGATCGTCTCCTATTTTGAAATGATCGTCTCCTAAAAGGGCCAGGACTCTACCAAACTCGAAACTCGAAATCAAGAAAGTGGGCGTTTCGGTTCGCTTGTGAGGCTACATACATGTATCTTGTACAGGAACGTGAAGGGAAGTGGGAAGAAAATAACCAAATAAATGGTCTACCGGTACCACAAACAGGGGGTGGAGAAATTCAGTGCCACCCCATCCTGACCCTTGCCGGTGCCACTCAGTGCCAGATATCGAAAGTCTTGCATTTGCATACTAGCTAGCCCGTGATGGGCATGTTCATCTTCCCCTTCTTCTTGCCATCACTAAGATTGCATCCCTGATCACCCTCGTTCCAAATGATGACGGGACGACTCCGCATCCTCATTGTCATTATTATTGTTGTCATGGTCACTTACAGAAATACACCTACTAGTGCGACCCACTTGCATTCCCATGGGCGGTGCAAAAGCATTGGCGCCACGGCTGGTAGCAACCACAGGATAAAGATTGGAGGATGAACCACCCCTGAGGAGTCCATCGGCTAGGGCAGGGTTTCAAATCCACTGTAACAATGTTCTAGAAATTTATGCACAGGTTCATGTAGAGCATGGCCAACAGGGCCTTACAGCATATTGCCGTAACCAGTTCTTCCTCGCATTCTAGCTGTTGCCTGTTCCAATAGCTCGAAATTTGACTTTCCGGATCTTGTCTAAATCAGACTTGTTGCTCCTCAATCTTGACACGGAATGCTCATCAATCTGGTGTACATACTTGGATAGGTAACCATCCCAGTCTGCGTCTGCCAAAGCCATAATGCAATCTCTTTGGTGTGCTTTGGTTCCAGGTTCCAATGAAATGATGGTTTCAAAGGAGACAATCCATTCATCCGGTGAAACAGAGATATCGTAGTCTATATCAATCTGTTCCATGGTGGCATCAAATAGGGTATCCTTGAACCTGTCATGTTCTCTCAGTGAATCACCCATAAACTTCATGACACCACTGAAAAGCAGGGTCTTGGCCTTGAAATCCAGAGCACTGCCAGTCCCATATTCAAATTGAAAAGTCAACGACGCTGGGAATTTGAGTACTAGAGCACCATTTCTCTGCTTTCCAATGCCACTTCCCTGTCGGTTGCTGCCATCAGTCTCGGCTATCACTGCTGGGTGATTGCACATTTCATCAGTGGAGATGAGCCTGAAGTTACCTCCTGGCAAATCTACGGTCTGGGGAGTCTCAATGTAGCCATCAAGTGTGCTGTTGCATGCCTCCATGGTCAAGGAAGTTCCATTCAAACTGCAGTCACATTCATATCCTTCCACATCAATGATACAGATATCATTGCAAGTGTCCGCATAAGCACTTATGTAGCCATATACTGTGTAGGGGCCAATCGGCATGTATTCGTCATCATACAGCTGGTTATAGAATGACCAGCCTTGGGAGATTTCAATGCAGTTGTCATACTCTGTGACACAGAAACCTGTATCAAGTGAGTAGCATTCGCCCTCCACAATGTCACCAAAACTCCAGGCATCACCACAGTAAGTCGGGTAGTATATTTCGGTAGGAGCTGGAGTGGGATCAGGAGCCGTGACAGCTGGATGATTGCACATTGCTTCAGTGGGAGAAAGTTCGAAGCTTCTTCCATCATCGTTGTTCAACTTGAGAGTCTGCGGTGTTTCAAAGGTGCCCTCCATGACATCAACGGGGATGTTGCTGCAATCAATCATGGTTACACTTTGCATGTTTCCACGTGGCACTTCACAGGAGTTGCAAACATATCCACCCACTGAGATCTCACATGTTCGCGAGCAAGTATCAAGCTTAATGTTCACCTCAGCATAAACATCATAAACAAATGTTCTGTCGTCTCCATTGCTCTCCAATAGCCTGTTGCTGCTGTTGCTGGAGCTTCCTTCGCTGGCACTTGGAAATGGGAATGGGCCACTACCTCGACTGACGTCATCTATGGAGTCAGCGCTTGTACTGCTGGAGTCTGTGCTGTTGCTGGAGCCTCCTTCATCATCCTCTGTGCTGTCATTGGGAATCGGGAATGGTCCACTTCCTCGACTGGCTCCATCTATGGAGTCAGCGCTTGTACTGTTGGAGTCTGTGCTGTTGCTGGGGCCTCTTCATCATCCTCTGTGCTGGCACTGGCACTGGGAATCGGAATGAACCACTGCCTCGACTGGCTCCATCTATGGAGTCAGCGCTTGTACTGTTGGAGTCTGTGCTGTTGCTGGTGCCTTCTTCATCATCCTCTGTGCTGGCACTGGCACTGGGAATCGGGAATGAACCACTGCCTCGACTGGCTCCATCTATGGAGTCAGCGCTTGTACTGTTGGAGTCTGTGCTGTTGCTGGTGCCTCCTTCATCATCCTCTGTGCTGGCACTGGCACTGGGAATCGGGAATGAACCACTGCCTCGACTGGCTCCATCTATGGAGTCAGTGCTTGTACTGCTGGAGTCTGTGCTGTTGCTGGAGCCTCCTTCATCATCCTCTGTGCTGTCATTGGGAATCGGAATGGTCCACTTCCTCGACTGGCTCCATCTATGGAGTCAGCGCTTGTACTGTTGGAGTCTGTGCGTGTTGGGCCTCCTCTCATCATCCTCTGTGCTGTCACTGGGAATCGGGAATGGTCCACTTCCTCGACTGGCTCCATCTATGGAGTCAGAACTTGTACTGTTGGAGTCAGTGCTGTTGTTGGGGCCTCCTTCATCATCCTCTGTGCTGTCACTGGGAATCGGGAATGGTCCACTACCTCGACTGGCTCCATCTATGGAGTCGGCACTTGTACTGTTGGAGTCAGTGCTGTTGTTGGGGCCCTTCATCATCCCTGTGCTGTCACTGGGAATCGGGAATGGTCCACTACCTCGACTGGCTCCATCTATGAGTCGGCACTTGTACTGTTGGAGTCAGTGCTGTTGTTGGGACCTCCTTCATCATCCTCTGTGCTGTCACTTGGGAATCGGGAATGGTCCACTACCTCGACTGGCTCCATCTATGGAGTCGGCACTTGTGCTGTTGGAGTCAGTGCTGTTGTTGGGACCTCCTTCATCATCCTCTGTGCTGTCACTGGGAATCGGGAATGGTCCACTTCCTCGACTGCCATTTCCTCCTCCGTTTCCTGGCCCGTTCCCTCCACCAGTGCTGTTCCAGGACCTAGTCCTCCGCCATCGCCTGGACCATTTCCTCCTCCGTTTCCTGGCCCGTTCCCTCCACCAGTGCTGCTTCCAGGACCTAGTCCTCCGCCATTGCCTGTCCATTCCCTCCTCCATTGCCTGGCCCATTCCCTCCACCATTGCCTGACCATTTCCTGTGCTGTTTCCAGGACCTGTTTCCTCCGCCATTGCCTGTTCCATTCCCTGGCCCATTCCCTCCACCGTTCCCTGGACCACTCCCTCCGCTGTTTCCTCCGCCATTCCCGCCACCGGGAAAGGGTCCACTGCCTCGAAATGTCTGTGTTTCATAATCCCACGAATAGTACTCGTTGTAATAGGTAAAGTTCTGTTCAATCACGCTGCAACTTTTGGCTGGATACGTCGTCACACACACTTCCGTATCGACGGCATAACAGCGATCTCCACGAATTTCACCATCCACGTAGGAAGCATCACAAGATGCGACCCCTTCTTCGTCGGACGTGGGACTGGCGGTGCTTTCGTAGCACCTGGAACAATCCAGCACGTCGCAGTCGACATCCCAGTTGAGAAATTCCAAAGCACAAATACTGGGAGGGACTGTCCCCGTCAAGAAATTCTGATCCAACCAGAGAAATTGCAAATCCGTCAACTCTTGTGCTAGTTCGGGTGGAATGGTACCGGTCAATGAATTGGCATTGAGACGAATCGATTGGAGTTGGGTCATCTGTGTCAGTTCGGGAATGAGACTGCCCGTCAAGGCATTGCGGGAGAGATGCAATTCGGTCAATTCCGTCAGGTAGGCAATTTTGGTAGGAATGGTTCCCGTCAGCATTTCACTGTTGCGTTGGATGCGTCGTGTGTCAGTAGAATAGGTCGTGCCCCAAAGTTCGACTGTCGATGATACTGTTGGAAACTCATCATTGTGGGTTGGAAACATGGTCTCCGTGTAGTGATGTGTGGGATACGCAGTGTAGTCATAATGAGACGGAACAAAAGTATCAGAGTAGGTCGGTTCGCTGGTGGCAAGTTGGGAAGGAGCATAAGTGGCGGGATCACTCTGGCGAGGGTTTGTATGTCTCCGTGTAGTGATGTGTGGGATAAGCAGTATAGTCATAATGATGAGACGGAACAAAGGTATCAGAGTAGGTCGGTTCGGTGGTGGCAAGTTGGGAAGGAGGATAAGTGGCGGGATCCCCTGGCGAGGGTTTGTATGTCTCCGTGTAGGTGGGTTCCACAGTGGCAAGTTGAGAAGGAGCATACGTTTCGTAGGGAGACCCTTGGGTGGGTTGTCTGTCTCCGTGTAGTGATGTGTCGGGTACGCAGTATAGTCATAATTATGAGATGGAACAAAGGTATCCGGGTAGGTGGGTTCGGTGGTGGCGAGTTGGGAGGGAGTATACGTTTCATAGGGAGACCCTTGCGTGGGTATGTCTGTCTCCGTGTAGTGATGTGTCGGGTAGAAGGTGTAGCCGTCGTGCGAATGAGACGGGGCAAAGGTACCAGTATAAAAGTGGGTGGGTTCCGTGGTGACGAGTTGGGAAGGAGCATACGTTTCGTAGGGCTGTTCTTCTGTTGGGGTCTCTGTGTAGTGATGCGTGGGGTAGTAGGTGTCGTGGGGATACCCTCCCGTAGGTTCCGATGTAGGACCGTACATGGATGTAACCTCGACGGTCGGTTCGTTGGTGCCTGGACTGGACGTGGGCGATGACACGATTTCGGCAGCCGTAATATAAAACGTCGAATGATAGAAGATGGAAACACCATTTCGATTTTCAATCACAACGGTAACATCCAGTGGCATGTCGGCGGATTCTTCCGTGACCGTAATGGTTCCCGTAATACCAATTTTTTCACCACGGTTGGTATGAGTAATACCACCGACATCAGATGGACATACCGTGGCAATTTGCGCCTCGTCGGGGATACTGGGAGAATCCAACGAGGTGGTGGTATCCACATTGGCACTTCCTCCTCCCAATCGAATCAAGAATCCTCGAAAGGCAGCTCCTTCGGTGTAAAGAAGCCAATCGAGTGGCTCATTCAGAGGGATGGTCAGTATGTCATCCACCGATAGGGTAGTGCCATCTATTTGCAGGGCAATGCCGTCCTCATCCAGTTCGCCCATGGTCACATTGGCGGCGCGCGTGTGAGGACCTCTCACGGCGGCGGATTCTTCGGGGCAAGCTCCTGCACCCGAAGGAAAGGCATTGGAGGGTTGGATGATATTCAGACAGCTTGAAACGGATAATACGATCCAGAAAAGAGACAGCCAGGAGTTGCCTCCCGATCTTTTGCTACTAGATCCCATGATGGCGTCTTCTATTGGTTTGTGGTGGAAGCAATTGCTTGGCTTGGGATCCAATCCATCAAACCTTCGCCTAGCTCTTCTGTTGCTTGGATCACTTGTGAAGCTCCAACTGACGGCGAAATTTTGCGAGAAAGATGACGGTGGTTGCATGTGAAACTTGTTTCTAAGGGTTTAGAATGACCATGACTGTTCTCCTTCATCCATATTACTTAAGCAATGACCTTGAACACTTCTCCACGAATGTAAAGAGTTAAAAGCGCCCCATGCAAGGCTTTTTTTCGAACTCACAGGAAGACCAACCGCTCACTTTTCTTACACTGAAAGGGTGCCTGGAAAAGATGATGACCATGGCGTTCCCTCCGTCCATCGACCCACAACCCAGCAAGCTCAATAGATAGAGCAGCAACAACCATACCACAGCAATCACCATGACGACGAGAAGAAGAGAACGTATGAGCGCCTTGCCTTGGCTACTACTGGTGCTACTACTACTGCACCCTGCTCCATCCGGCGCCTCTCGAGGCAGTCCAGGATGTACTACTCATGGAATTGACACGGGAGACAACGCCTGCTACGGCTTGACCCTGCATCGATGCGACCGGCAAGACCATCGTGGCTGTCGAGAAACCACGCTCAACTACGAATACACGGACGGAGAAGAAGAGTCCTCGAGTGTTCACCTCCAGGTCAAAGCACAGCACAAATGCAAAAACGGTGCCACAAAAACAGATGATTCCTGCGAGATTTCGGTAAATGATAGTAGATGCCAAGAGTGTAGTTTTGACAGTGAACAAGGAACCGTCACCCTCGTAGCATGCCCAGATGCAGAAGGACTCTTGCCACAAAACGAACAAACGATTGACATTACACCAAAACAAGACGAAGAAGAAGAGCCAGAGTACTTTGCACTGGAAGAACCAGTCGACGACGATTGTCTTCCGTCTCTGACGAATACGCCGTGTGGACCCAATGTAGTATGTGCCGATGATCAGGAGTGTTGCAATCCGTAAGTACAGTTGGATTATTGTTTCTATTTTTGGAGCGAATTTGTTGCCCTTTGTTGCTGACTGACTGGTACGTCTCTCCTTTTTGTGTGTTGCTCGATGCAGATCTTGCGGCATTTGTGTCGAACCAGGGGGTCTTTGCACCATGGAAGTTTGTGACGCTGGAACAGGCCGTGGCGAGGGCAATCAGCGCCCTATGGACTCGGAACTCACGGATATCCCGGCCACGGGAGCTCCCACTTCCCAGGGCTCGGAACAAACGGATATCCCGGCCACAGGAGCTCCCACGCCGGAGGAAGTCACGGCAGCTCCCACTTTGCAGGATATCCCTGCCACAGCAGCTCCCACGGCCCAACAATGCCTCACCCGCTGTGTCATACTGTGGGGAGAGCTTTTTGAAATCCCCTTTACCGAGGGCGTTCACAATAGCGGTCAAGACTTGGCGGGACCCATCCCCACAGAGATTGGGCTCTTGACCGAGTTGACTCTGTTGCAGCTTCCACGGAATGGACTCACCGGAAGCATCATTTCGGAACTTGGCATGCTGACCAAACTGGTAAACCTGTGGCTTCATGGGAATGACCTGGATGGGTCCATTCCAGAGGAACTGGGCTTGTTGACAGACTTGGAGGTGCTGTGGTTGCAGGACAATCTCTTGACCGGAAGTGTCCCAGAAAGTGTCTGTGAGATTGACAGTCTAGATTCTCCAGGCGCCTTGAAGCTGGATTGTGACAATCTGGAGTGCTGCGATGGTGACGCGCGCTCCGCTGCCATTCCTGCAGCGGCTCTTATTATGGAAACACCCACTGCTGCTCCCACATCCCAGTGCCGCGTCCCCTGTGTAGAGATCTGGGGAGAAATCTTTGAAATTCCTTTCATTGAGGGCATTCACATGAGTGGTCAGCCACACTTGGCGGGACCCATCCCAACAGAGATTGGGCTCTTGACAGAATTGACACTGCTGCATCTACCATGGAACCAGTTGACTGGAACCATTGTTACTGAATTAGCCATGCTGACCAAGCTGCACTACTTGTGGCTAAACAACAATGAACTCAACGGGACAATCCCCGAGGAACTGGGGTTACTGACAAATTTAGAGGAATTGTGGTTGCACGAGAACCTCTTGACAGGACCTGTCCCTGAGGCCCTTTGTGAGCTGGATGGTTTGGATACTGCTGGAGCCTTGACCCTTGATTGTGACAGTGTGGAATGTTGTGCGGAAACACGCAGTGCAGAGTCTTTCATCCCCATCTCTATCCCAGACTTGGGAGATGTCCCCATGAACAAAGTTTGTGCCGGTTCATCTGCGGAAGGAGCAATCTTTGGTGATCGATGCTATGCTGTGGATGTTGAATTATGTGTCACCACAAATCCGATTTCCACTGCTTTGGCCACCGGTGCATGTATGGTCATTGAACACAATTATACCTACTACAACAACTTTGACCCAGACCAAGCTGGCGAAAAGAGGGCTCGTGGCATTGGGGTTCCGGCTCCTACTCCCGTCAACAGTGGAGGCGACGAGGAAGAAGATTTCTTTGAGCTCTACGCAGAGGTGTATGTCAAATTGGATGCTTGCCTCCATTCATGCGAGATTTCAATCGGAGGGTATGTCTGTGACGCATGCGATTTCGGTTGGGATGAGGGACCAACAGTGACCATGATCAACTGCAGTGGTGTTCCCGCTGATGTCTTTGATGGCAGTTTTGTGAGTCCGCAAACTATAGAGTTAGGAGAGAATCTTGTGCATGATTTTGGGCAAAGCTTTGAACTTGCTGCTACTGAAGACATGTGCAACCACCCAGCCATCGTGGCCAACAATCCTCCCACCGAAGCTCCTTCAGGAACTTATAGTCCCACCATCTGGGATGGGCCTGAGAGGGGTGCACCTGTACCTGCACCAACAACTGAAACTGACAAGCCCACTTTAGAACCTACCACTTTGGCTCCCACAAATATATTCAACATGCGCTGCAATGATATATTTAATGATGGTACTATTCAGGATGGCACTTGCTACTCATTTGACTCCACCTACTGTGCTTCTGAGAGCGGTGGCTGCAGTACTATCTCTCAGGCTTGGCTATACTACAATCAGCAGGTTGATGATGAAAACAACCCTGTTGGACCATTCACCGGTTATGCATATGTGTATGCCTATACGGACTCTTGCACTGATGAATGCTACATTGATGTGGATGGCTTTTCATGTACCTGCCAGGCAAAAGGAGATTCCGGGATCATCCTGGTAGGATGTGAGAGCGCTCTCGATGGCTATTTCGAGACTCCCCAGACAATACCACTGAAAGGAGCCCCCTTCAAGCTCACCCCCACAGATGACATGTGCAGCCACCCAGCTGTGATAGCCCAGACAGATGGCAGCAGCAACCGACAGGGAGGTGCTAAAAAGACGACAAATGGTGCTATAGTTCGCAGGTTTCCTGCCTCCCTGACCTTTCATTTTGAAGCTGCAACGGGGAGTGACCTTGCAGACATGGCCAAGACTCTGCTGATTGGTGATAGTATGAAGTTCATGCGTGACTCAATGAGAAACGAGGATAGATTCAAGCATACCTTGTTAGATGCAACAATGGATCAGATCACGGTGCTCTATGATGGAGCCACATCACCAGATGAATGGACGGTCTCCTTTGATACACTGATTTCATTGGAACCTGGAAGCAAGGCAACCCAAAGAGATTGCATCATGGCTCTAGCAGACGCTGATTGGGATGACCTCCTCTCCAAGTATGTGCATAAGCGTGAAGAGCACACACTGTTGAGAGTGAGGAGCAATGGAGGTACAGCTGAGTTGGACGGGATTCGGAAAGTCAAGTTCCGGGCTGTAGGATCTGGTCCCTACTAGTAAATCGAAAGGCTGGGATGCATGGGATGGAGCTGCTGTGCCATTCCATCACCGCCCTGGAGGCGTGCAAACTCCTACGTGTTGGCTATCTAGATATAAATAGAATTAGAGATCGCTTCAAAGGCTGTCGTTGTCTTATATTGCCTTGTCGTGGTACCCTATACAGCTTATACGAAGAGGTTACTATGTGTTAGAGGGAACTATGAAGGAGAGTGGGCTCAAGAGAGAGGATGAGTACAAGGGGCAAGAATTCAAACCGGGCAGGCCGACGGCACAACGGAAGAATGAAAGGAAGGAGGCAAGGGAAGGATCAAAGGACAAAGAAGAAGGAGGGTGGAGAAGGATCAAAGGAAAAAGACTCGCGGAAGAGATCAAGAGCGCCGCGATCGTCCCAACGCTGGGAGCTCATTGCACAGGTAGCAGCAGGACCGCGAGAGCCACGATGGATGCGGGTGGGGGATGACGACAGATTTGCAAGTAATAAGTGAATAGCTGGTCGAAATTTGCTTCCATGCGGGAATGACGTCAGTGATCAACTGGCGGGGCTTCTCATCACTTTTCTTCTGGCTTTGCCAACAGGTCGTTGTTCACCGTTGTTGTTTTGGGGCAGCATCGCAAAGAGGATACCGGAAGGCAGCAGCGCCGCCATCACGATTGCTGCCCGGTGTAACAGCATGGACGCCAGTTTGTCACTATGAGGTCGAATCTGGCAGTATGGCGCCATGCGTTGCTGCTTCTCATAATCCTCTTTTTGTTGCTGCAAGACTCCATGGGTATGCGTCGAAAGATCGAAGGTGTGTTGGGTGGGAAACTCCTCAACTTTGCCGGTCGAAAGTTCGTCAAAGATGCGGAGCTGATCAAACGAGAGGTTTTCCTTCCAGAGACTGGGTTGACAGTTCACTATTACGAACGCGAAGGCGATGGTACCAGCAGGGACGAAAGCACACCACAACCAACATTGCTGCTGCTTCACGGTATCACAGACGAAGCCAAGAATATGGCTGCTTTGGTCATCGTATTACGCAAGGAATTGCCGCATTGGCGGATTATTGTTCCAGACCTGATTGGTCATGGACATGATTTGGCCCGAGCCAAAAAGGAGGGCTCTAGCTTTGAGTACCCGACACCCGAACGGCTGCTTCAGTGCATGACAGAGTTTGTGACAGCGCTGAATATCCAGCAGTGCACTGCATTTGGCATGTCCATGGGAGGGGCATTGGCCTATTTCTTGCAGAGTGAAAAGCCAGAAGTAGTGCAAAACACCATACTGATATCTCCTGCTCTGAATGCTGTCCTGGACTCACAGTTCATACAAGACTTTGTGACTCGGCAGAAGAACCATTTCTGTTACGAGTGCCGTGATGATGTCAAGTACTTTTTCCGGGATCTTTCATGCCCACACAGAAAGGTGAAAGATCCTGTTCCAAAGTTCTTGCTGGAAGCTATCTGGAAACAGAGATTGGCTCAGGCGCCAGAGGGGCATTTTCACTCCCTTTTCGAGCACCTTCTGAAAGAAAGAGAGAAGGAGCATGAAATATGGCATTGTTCCAGTGACATTGCTCCAGAGGCAAAGAAGCTTGTCATTTGGCCCCAGAATGATTTCATTGCCAACCATGATCAAGGTCAAGCATTTTTTGCCAAGTCATCTGACAAAACAACCTTTCATAGTGTGCCAGACTGTGGACACCTGTTTCATTCCAATGGCAAAAACGTCATGGAAATTGCAGCACCTCTCATGGTGGATTTCCTGAAACAAACAGAACTGGATGGGTACGGTAAGCACACGGCAATTAAGCGAGAGTAAACGAAGATGTCGAACCCACAGGGCCAGCCATAAGTTGACTTTTTGTGGGAGACTTTATAGGAATCACAAAAGGTTAAGACGCTGGACGGACTTTTAGTATGTTTGGCTAACCTGTACCAGGTAAGAGCGTTGTCTCCAAATTAACTGAGCAAGCCAAGGGCATCTCTCTAATTAGACGTATAAACCGTACCGGAAAATTTTCGTTTGCACAATGTGTGCGTGTAGCGGCTTCGTTTGGAGGGTGGCAACCCACAGTGGAATGTAAGAATGCATACAATGAATACACAACGAGCAAGCATCTGGTGGGGTGTAGGGCCATACAACAATTTTGCGGAGATGAATACAGTTGGTTCAATTGAAGGGTCACATTGAAGGTAGCCGGGTTTGTGGTTCCTGTGCTAGGCAGCCTCTATTGCAGAGTGCTTGTCCGAACGTCCTCCACGCGACGAAAGTCCAAAGTTAATACCCGTGACACCCCACAACCAACCTATATCATTGTTGATGCTACAATCTTAAATACCGGTAGAACCGAACATTGACATAGAACAATGACACATAGTAGACAATCGTTACAAGCAAAAATCATGGCTTCATTCTTTATAGTAGTCGTTCTAGCTAGAGGTAGTTCATAATCATAGCAAGCTTGGATCCTTGGATCCTTCTAAGTTGTCCCGGTTGTGGCACTGTCACTTCTACATCACACCTACAGTACCCTTCAGCTCTCCCGAGCTGTGAGACACGGAGAATGTGTATGATGGATCGAAATGGTCTCGTTTCTGGAAGGTTCCATCCAACGCCGAAGATCGGAGTGGAAGATGGAGGCTTCCGCGAAATCCACGTCGCCGTTTTGGGTGCTCGCTGCCGCCTCTGCCCTTGTGCCTTCGAGTGAGTTGTTGGAAGAAAGCAACCAGGTAACCTGGTTCCAGTGCCTGGTACCATACATGAGACCTCCATCGCATAGACACAACAGCCACAAGGCCCACTCCCCAAGCAAGCTTCTGAAGGGGCTTGATAGTACGGAAGCAGCCTAGACTAGTAGTACCTCTAGCTATAGAAATGACGGATGACGAGGATGCGGGTGATGCAAATGACGAGTCCATCTCGACCATTACGGATTCTGTGGTTCCAGCTCCCACTACTACTACTACTACCGGTACTACTACAAGTTCTGCAGTGGATGGCACTGACTTTTTGACACTGCTTCGAGCAGCAGGTGGGTTTGGCGGCGAGAGAACGAATGACGATACTTGGGGGTTCAGTGAACAACAGAACAATCGGCATGACTTGTCGACTCTTTCTCGTTTGTTTGATTCTTCCAATACATTGAATGCCCTCAACAATGAAGACACCGTTGGAAGAAGCAACCGGACCAACCAGCAACGTCCAAAGAAGCCACAGTTAGCATCCTTGGCAGAGCTCTTTGAACCGCCTCCTGGTTTACCGATTGATGCAAAAGAAGAAGAATCTGCCGTCACGGTACCTGAAAAGCCTCCTGTACCAGCTCCCTCTCCTCCTCCTCCACAATCGGTCCTCAAAAACCCCATTAGTCCTCTATCGGGTTTCTCGGGAAGCAACGACTCCATCATTCGCAATGCAACGACATCCTTAGGTTTACCGCCGCGACCACCACGCTTACGTCACCACCAGCGCACAGTTTCCTGGGGCAACAATACTACCTTTGTCCCTCCTACTGAGGAACAACCACAAGAGGGTCCAGATATTCCCTCGCAAAATTCCTTTGACAGTGTCTCCAGTCTCGATGCCGATGCCCAACATCGACGCAACAATACACGGACGCAGTTCCTGGGGTTGGATGACCTACTCAGTGATGGACCATACGAAGCAGAAGCCGAATCCAATATTATTCGAGCCATGGAAGCACAACGAGCACGAGTGGCGTCCCCGCCCCCCATTTTACCACAAGTGCCATCCACGGCCGTGCATGACTTTTTGTTGGAAGAAGAACCCGACGAAGAAGAGCCTCCACCACCCGTCTCGTTTGCCAGCCGGGAACGAGCCAAGTTACTGCACAATAGTCCCAAAAAAGTATCGCGTCATCAACGGCATTTGAGTGTGGAGCAAACATTGGCGGGGTTGACCAATGCCATGTCGGCATTTCATGGGACACAACTTCCCAACAACAACTTTTCGTCGTCGTCTGCGGATGCCTTTGCCAACAATGCCGCACGCTTGTCGGAACAACAAGAAGAGAGTCCCCATCATCATCGACCTGCTCCCAGCCGTGTGTGGCAATTTGACAATCTGCCCATTGTCGAAGAAGACGATCGAGCGCCAGATGCCAATAATGCTAATATCGACGACGATGTACCGCACAGTGGGGAGCAAGGGCACCAGCACAGTGCTGATATCGAAACGGGTGCTACTACTACGTCACAACAAGTCAACACGGAGGATCACCCGGCTGGAAGGAACACATCCTCCACTGCAAATAGCAATCCTTCCTTACGACGCATCGACTCGAGTCGAAGACAATCACTGTTTGGAGATGCCACTGACAACTTGAAAACCGAGTGGGAAGCGTTCAGTGTCTTTTTCCGACCCAGAAAGAAACACGTTCGTAGTTATGTCCGAAATGTCTTGTTGTATATTGTACTCCCATTGACTGGAATTGCCGGCTTGCTATATTATGTTTGTGGGAATCCAATTCCTGGGGCTGTCGAGGGGGAAGACGAAAACAGCAGGGCATCCGCATCTTGGTGGCTATTGTTCACAGTCCGAGAAGTCATTACGTTTTCCATGGCCCTGGCCATGCAAGGGTTTCTTGTCGACTTTTTGGCACTGGGAACCAAAGTCATGCTCCGTCTGGTGGGACCTGTCATTACTCTGCTCATTGTGCAGGCCAAGGGGTGGCCATTCATCTGCTTTTGGTGGGCAATTTTTGATTTTGCAATGCAGGCCAGCGGTGGACAGTTTTCGCAGCATTGGTTGTACTGGTCACGCATTGGGCTCTTCAATGCCAGTAATCCATCTGGGAATATTCCTGGCAGCGAGAGTCATATCAAGGTGCTGTCGATCGTTGTTTCCGTCAGTGTTGTGGTGGCAGTGAAACGCTTTTTGATTGGCTTGTACTTGGGGCGGCAGACGTTTTCACACTACGGAGAAAGCCTGGCCAAAGTAATGAACTCCATGCTTTTGGTGAGCGAAGTTGCTGGTCTTGCCAAGGCCATTGAAAAGTCAAAGGTTGACGAGAAGACAATGTTGCCGGTCACTTCTGAGTAAGTTCGATCGGATGTTGTGTGACTCTGGATCGTGCGCGCCTTCGTGGAGCGGACTGCTGACCTCATTCATTCCTCGTCTGACATGCGATTTTTAGAGCATTTGGTTGGGAGGGTGATCTTTGTGCACTCCAGGATGACGACAACACAAGCGCGCACTGTTCGAGCACCATCGTAATTGACACGAAAAACCGAGATCCATTGACCGGAAGCCTTCCATCGCATGAAAAACGAAAGTTGATGCAGCTTTTGGGACAATGGGAAGAACCAACTCGTCCGACGGAACCGGGACAGGTACGTGACATGTGGTCGGAGTCTACTTTCTTTTTTACGTTCGATTGCTTATTTTTGGTTGACTTCGGAAGATTGAAATTGCTTCCATCTCTGCTGTCCTGAGGTTTCGCAAGGCGCTCACGTTCATGCAAACAAAATACCCTTTTGGGTACTTCTTTGGTGACGCGGACACCAGAGAAAAGACAATAGAATCAGCTCAGAAGGTATACAATCGGCTCCTACTTCGAACACCAGGCGAGCAAGTTGTGCAATTTGAAACATTGGCACTTCTAGCTCTGGAGCACGATGGCAGTACCATTGACCAGCAAAAGGCCAAGGAACTTCTGAAGCTGTTCCGCCCGGATAGGGAAGGCCGATTGAGCATGGTAGACTTTCTCAAGAGTGTCGACAGCGTGTACAAAGAGTGTCGTATGCTCAATGCATCTATCCAAAACAGCTCTCAAATCGACAGAGCTTTTGAGAATATATTCAATGTGGTGTTTTACATTGCTGTGGTCACGATCGCCCTGTCTCTCCTTGGCTTGTAAGTTCCATTTGTCTGACTAGTGCAAATCGCTGTTGTTGGTTGGCTGCTAACTCTTCCCACCCCTCTCTGCACAGCAATCCGCTTGCACTTTTTCTATCACTGAGTAGTGTCATCCTGGGCTTTGCGTTCAGTAAGTAGAGGAAGAAAAAGTGCATGCTGGCTTGTTCATGAAGACACGAGAGCTAAACTCGTTTTCGCCTTTATCTTCTCAACAGTGATTGGCTCTGCAAGCTCCAAGTACTTTGAAGGTGTCCTCTTCATCTTGGTCCGCAGAGTAAGTTGCTCGAGTCAGACTCACCGTGGTGTTTGTGGTCAGGCGCCCAATCTAACAAATATCTTTCGTTTCTTACTTAAAACAGCCTTATGGCATTGGAGACAGGATTCATATCAGCGGTGTCGAACTTGACACTTCTATTGAAGGCTCCCCTGGTTGGGTGGTCGAGAATGTCACCTTGTTTGAAACTATTGCGACCTGGACTCCAACCAAGGAACGGTGTAGTCTTTCCAATGGGTCGTTGGCCAACAGCAGAATTATCAATGCAGCTCGTTCGCCGCAAGCACAGTTCCATATCTTTCTCAAGTTTCCAATTGACACGAGTTACGAACGGACCATAGTCTTCAAGAATGCCATTGAGGAATATATGAAATCAAGGCCTCGTGAGTGGCTTGCTCTCAATGGCTTTCGAGCGTTCCGCATTGCTGCGGACCTGGGCTATGTGGAGTACGCCATTGTGATTCAACACCGGGAATCGTGGCAAGAAGTCGGCCAGATATTGGACTCCAAAGCCAACCTGAGTAGTTACTGCAATGAAGTTGCCAAGCAGCTGAACATGCACTACCGCGCCCCTCCATTACCAGTTGACCTTCGATATATTACTGGTGATGATTTGCTTGTCAGCAACTTGGCAGCGGCAACGACAGCGACAACCAAGAGCAACGTTGGTTCAGGAAATAGCGGGTTAGCACCAACAACAGAAGACATGGTCCTTGCTGAAATGGACAGAGAAGCCCAAATGAATGCATTCCGTCAGATTGCAATGAGCAAACACAACATTCGTCTCAATTGATAGGTCATGCCTCGTTGGGAACGACCAGGTCGCTGCTGGACGATGCGTCATCTCTGGTTCACCCTTCAACAATTTTATTGATTCAAACTGAGCTTAGATGATTTAGAGTGCACAATAACAATAGATAAATTTTGTTCATGCAAGCTCATCTTTGTGCGGTTGAAGCTCGTACGGTAATAGGTGGCCTCGTGAGCAGTGGGGGCGCTTTAGACGCACACGCTGTTGGGTTTGCCGATGGCGACAAGGCTCCCTCGAACGCTATGGAACCAGGCCACTTGATCGATTGCGTCTTGAAGTTTGCTACGGTAGGCACTGGAGGACGATTTCGGACGTGACTTTCTTTCGACGCTGGGGATGCTTTCAGATTTGTGCGTGCACTTGTTCATCTCTACCGTATCTAGCTCGCTTACTGTTCTAATGCAACTGATTCTGCGTCTTCCCCAGACTTGAGATAGGCTATCACCATGGGTAGAATAACTTCCATGATACGTTTCCCATTGGAATGAAACAAGTGTCCACAGTCTGGAACACTGTGAAAGGTAGTGTTGGCAGAGGATTTGGCAAAGAATTGTTTGCCCTTGTCATGGTTACAAATGAAATCATCTTGTGGCCAAACCACCAATCTCTTTGCTTCCGGATCAATATCCGATTTGCATCCCAACCATTCTGGATCCTTGCCGGCATGATCAATCAATGTATGCAGAAATGTGCGAAAGTGGCCCGGTGGTTCTTCGGCTTGACGGTCTCGCCAAATGGCCTCCAATAGAAAAAGTGGGATGGGGTCATGCACTTTTCGCTGTGGACAGGATAGATTTTGAAACAATTCTCGCACATCCTCTCGACTCTCGACACAAACGTGGTTTTTCTTTCGGAGCACAAACTCCTCGGCAAATTGCGGATCCACCACGGCTTCGACGGCCGGCGAAATCAAAATGGATCGTTCCACCAAATCGGGTCGCTTTTGCTGCAAAAAATACACCATGGCTCCTCCCTGCGAAATGCCGTATCCAACGCAGTGTGTCACGTGGAGCGCTTCCAATAATTGCTCCAGAGAGTCTACCAGCTTTGCCGGACTGGGATAGGAAAACGTCGACGTTCGAGCGCGCTCCAAATCATGTCCATGTCCCAACATGTCGGGAATGATCATTCGATAGTTGTTCCCAACCTCTGGACTCAACTGGGAGACTGTCTTGGACCAGTTCTTGGCGTTGCTGGTCAAACCATGACAGAGCAGCAAGATAGGAGGGTCATCGTCGTCGCTGGCTAAAGTGACATCCGGTAGTCGCTCGTAGTAGTGCATGATCAAACCGGAGCGGACCGTGACTTGACGCTTGATCATTTTGGCCTTTTGCAGGAGCGTTCGACTGCCATACTCCAGCAGCATGCCTCCAAGGAGACCTTCTAGGTGCCGCTGAATAGAGCTCATGGTCAGAGAAAGAAGAAGATACACTAGAGGACGAATCTTTCTTTGTTTTTGTTCCCTCTAAATTCTTCGACTTTTTCGAAATCCGCGATAACGTGAAAGATCGCAAGCACCTTGGTGGGTCTTGGCTGTATCCATGTCTCAATAATATCCTTAACCTTAGTTTGACAGAATGATCAATCGAATCAAGGTGCACAAGAACCGAACAAAGACCCCAATTGGCCAATTCGAAGTACTAGTATTCGGCTTTTTTTCAGCGTTGGTCTCCTGTTTCCTCAGTTTGCTCGCTGCTTGGATCCATATGACGAATAGATGCAATCCAGCCATTGTATAGCCAGCTACGGTACCGTAAGCAGAGAGTTACATCGATCCGTGACAGTGGCAACAGTACCGAACACACTCAGGTTCCGCTTTACTGGCTACACTCCGTTACCGGTACCTTGCATTGGATCCTTATGATGAATACATGCACAACCGAACATTGTCAATCCAGCCATCGTAGCCAGTTTGTTTGTCACAAAGATTAGTAGTTGTTATTTTTTTTCTACTGCGCCGAGGGCTTGCTTTTACTTCACTCAGAATGGCAAGGGGCGCTACTGGCCCCTTGTTCGAGTAGAAGGGTCACGGGCACGCTAAGGCCCCTAAGGGTGTTTCATTCAATGTTGGTTTCTGTAGGAGTGCGCGCTAAGGCCTTCCTTGGAGTGTGGCGCGCTAAGGCCAAGTTCTAATGTTGTTGTTGGTCTGAGGAGGAGGTTCGAGGGATGGGAGATGGAGAGGCTAGAGTCGGCCCGTGGCACACCATTGGTATAATCGTGAATGCCTTCTGTCTTCGTGATTTGGTGGGCGCGTCGAGTTTCTCTATCGCGTATAGTATGTATCCCTTGGAGCCAAGACTGTTTATAGGGCTTGGATTTGGTAAGGAGAGAGATGAGTGAGTGTTTGATTGGTTGTGATAACAGGAGGGGAGTCCCCTGGTACCTTTGATATACTCAGGGCAATTGCTTGGTGTAACAGGTTGAGGGCTAGTTGCTGACGGGGCATTTTGTCGTCATGAAGAATCTTGTTCCGATGTTCCCATAAATCCAGGCCATCATGTGGGTTTTGCGAAGGATTTTGGAAGTCCAAGTGGTACCAGTGATGGAGTATCCCTCGCGTTTGTAGAAGGAATCCATATACTGGGCAAAACGAATGGAGGGGAGACCTTCCAAGAAGTTCTTCCAACCGATTCGGTCTTGGGAGACGATAAGTTGAGTAAGGGTGGCATCCCACTGGGGGTTGGGAGCAATGGGAGGGAATTTCGCCAACTGTTCAGGCGGTCAACTAGTGCTATGTGAAGGTCAAGGGGGGTGTGAAGCTCTCCAAAAGCAGAGGCCAGCTCTAGCAATTGAGCGCTCCAGACTTCATCAGATCCCTCAGCATGACATTGTAGGACATGAGTGGTGTCTTCTGGTGCTCCACAGCGTGGGCAATGGTCATCGTCTGTTTTTGCCAGTGTTTGAGAGTAATGCCCACTCCACAGTTCTCAGAGGCGTGTTTGGTACACCACCTGCGCATACCCAATGGTAGAGTTTTCATCAGCTTTCCGCATACTTCCCAATCACCAGCTGGAATGTGTCGGGGACAGTCTTGCAGGGGCAAGGTAGTGGTCAGAAGTCCAGTATTCTTCAATAGCAGGGAGGCAGATTAGGTCTAACAATGCTTGTCGGTGTGGTGAAGCAAGTTTCCGCCGCTTGTGCCAAAGTGACCAACCTTCTCCGCCGATGGGGTGATGGGAGGGAGACCCAAGTGGGTTCGCGGTGACAATGGCTGTCCAGTACTCTTTGGCTTTGGTGTCCATGCGCACATTGAGAGCTTCAAGGGGGCTCAGTTCGTGATCTGTGTGGTCATCCATATGCCCGTCGATGTGTTCTGTCTCAAATGTTACATTGCTTTGCTGGATGTGCATCCATAGGGCATGGGTCAAGTCAAATGATTGCTTGTTGGGGTCTGGGACGAATCCATTGTCAAACACCAGTAAGCAGATGAGCTATCGCATCCAACCGTAACCTTCCCATCAGTGATCCCAAAGAGGTCACAGATGAGATTGGTAATGATGACGATCGCAAGTAAGCCAGAGAGTTCACACCGGTAAGAGTCACCGTCATATAATGGGCCTGGAACGATGTTGACGCTAGTCAGTTCCATTGCTGGGTTCGTAGCCAGTTACAGTAGAGTTCATCGATCAGTGACAGTGGCAACAGTACCGAACACACTCACACTCAGGTCGCTGCACTCGATTACCTCGCATTGGATCCCTATGACGAATACATGCACAAACCGACTATTGTTAATCCAGCATTGTAGTCGGCTACCGACAGTTACATGGGACAGTGTCAACAGTACCGAACACACTCAGGTTCCGTTTTGCAGGCTACACTCGGTTGCCGGTATCTTGCATTGGATCCTTATGACGAATAGACTACATGCACAACCGAACATTATGAATCCACATTGTGCCGGCTGCGGTTTAGCTACATCGACGACAGTGGCAACAGTACCGAAAGTTCGGCTGTTGCTCGCTCGGTCATCCGGTCTCCTCGCATTGGATCCTTATGACGAATACTTGCACAACAGAATATTGTCAAACCAGCCATTGTAGCCAGTTCATAGAGTTACATCAATCGTGACAGTGGCAACAGTACGAACACACTCAGGTTCCGTTTACTGGCACACTCCGTTACCGGTACCTGCATTGGATCCTTATGACGAATACATACACAACCGAACATTGTCAATCCAGCTATCGTAGCCAGCTATCGTAGAGTTCATCGATCGGTGACAGTGGCAACAGTACCGAACACACTCAGGTTCGACTTTGCTAGCTGCACTCGGTTACCTCGCATTGGATCTTTATGACAAATACACACACAACCAAATATTGTCAATCCAGCCATTGTAGCCAGCTGCCATAGCCGTATAGCTAGTGGCAACAGTACTTGGCTTGCGCATACAGGAAAATGGGTACCGACACAGGAATCACCACCAAAACAGTAGGAAATAACAAGAAGGGATGAATCCGGTAGGAGGATCCACTCTCTTGTGTGTTGCTGCCTCTTCCGGTGGCTGGTGGCTGTTGCCTTTCAATGACTCGACGACAATAGGCTCCTCTGTTCAGGCTGTTAGTAGGGCTGGAGTTAACAGAGCCTCCTCCTCCAGCCTCTCCTCTTGTTATCCGGAGCGATCGATCGTCGACAATGGTACCAGTTCCTCGGCCGTCAGCAGTAAGAGAACAGAAAGTAAGATATAGATATGGTTTTCTCTTCTAGTCTGATACTGTGGACGACCGGAGACTTACCCTTGTTTTTCAACTTGGCCGTCATGGGCCGAGAAATGATTGCCATCCCATGGACCAAAGGATTCAATGAGGGATGGTTTTCGCTTCTGTACCAGAGTCAACCGGCTTGAGTGAGGCTTGGATAACTGAGATAATAGAGATGTGATCGATCGATTCGAATACAGCCGGCTTGGCTTGGATAACAGAGGTGCGACCGATCGATTCGATTCGAATAATTAAAACAACTCACCTGTTGACGGCCGAGCTCGGAATTCTCTCCTGTTTACCATAGAAATTCAATGAGGGAGAGAAGTCAGCGCTGTACCTTCAATAACATGCTTGATAACAGATACCACCAGTACTTCCAATCGATCGACCTTAACCTTAGTAACTTCAACGGTTCCTTTATCCACGAATCGATCTATTTTTATCGAAGGAGAACCTGTTACTTATGGATACACATGACCGTTGATTCTGCAACTGAAGTGCGGGTACACTAATGTACACAGTAAACGCGAGCCAATCGATTTCAGAGTGCAACTGAGGGGGAAACCAAAAGGAGCGTGGTCTGGGAGACCAAACATGTAACTTCTACGTCAGCGTACCAATACGTGTACAGTTTGTACGGTAGCGGTAGTGGTAATGGTTTTGCTACGCACAACCCGAATATCCAGAGCAGTAAGCACAATGCCATTGACCCAAACAAAAGTGAGAATGTCCACGATATCTACCATGTTCGAAACTCACATAGAATTGGCCGATGCGGCTGAGTCAGTAGGCAACCATGAATACGCTATGCTAAACAACCTCCAGGCATTTGACCTGTTGGCAAGAATAGAAAAGCTTGACCAGGGCCGCCACAACTTCATGCTTGACATTGTTCAGCTTTTCGACCGTTCACAGAAATCAACTTTGAATGAGGAAAGTTTGTCAATCGTCCTCCGGTTGGTTGAAAGCAATGAAAATCAAGAACCTGTCTTCGTCAGAGCTGCTGCCAGATATCTTCTGTTGCAACTGAAGAGTACAGACTAAAGACTCTTCCAGGAGGCTAACCCTCTGTAGGACGTCTTCTAGCTGAACTCAAGATGCACGCTGAAAAATATCGAGATGCAAGCAGGACATGTTTGGAGTGCAATACACGGCTCTTAGCCTTATTCGCGACTCGATCCTAGATAGGGTTTGAGTTCGACTCATGACTGAGTCTCTCGTGAATAGTCATTTGAGACAGGGTTCTCAATACCGCGGTCTAGTCATACTAGTTGATGATGAAACATCGCTCTAGATATTTTAGCTAGCGTGGAGTACTTCCACGCTTACTAGTCCAGGCTAGACAAATTCTTCCACGCGTTCCGTTTTTAAGGATCGTGGAAAGAAGTAGGATACTACCAACTTACTCTATCACACTTACGTCTCCGCGGGAAACCAGAACTGACGATCCATTGATGATGATCTATCTCGTTGATTAGTTTTCATAGCTTTCTAATCTCTCTCATAACTTTCATCTCTCAAACTCAAAACACATCGAATATCTTTACACACTTTAGCTTTAGCGTAGTGACATTTTTGTTAACAACACACATAGCTTTCTAGTACCTCAACTCTATTCATTCACATGAAGATTGGCTCAAGGAAAAGCATTCGTTCTGCAACTTCGAAAAACAGTTTGCGTGACAACCCATTCTTCACTCGT